GAGCTGGGGGAGGGGGACCTGCAGGGCCTGGCTTCTTACACCTGTCTGAGCATCTGGACCTGGGAAGAAAATATGGCTTGGGACTTTTTAAGTAGGACAGATGGACTGGGACCGGGAAAGCTTGGAGAAAGGGGGCTTACAGTGAAGGAGGATGACAGCAGTACCACTGTTCCCAGCTAAGAGAAGATTTTCTCTTTTAAAACATCGTTGAAGTCATCAGGTGTTCTTGGGGATGCTGCCTTTGTCTGTGGGAAGGGAGTAGTGCTGGGGTTCTGAGGAGACAGACTACTTTCCAATATGGGGGCAGTGTTGGGCTCCTCTCTGTCCCATCCTCCAGGAGAGGAGCTGCTATGCCCACAGAAGGTGACATTAGCTTGCAGTGGGTGAGCAAGGCACTCATTCTTCCTCAGCTCTTTGGCTGGTTTTGAGAAGAATGTGGTCACCAACCTGGGAGAGACCTGGCAGGAGCAGCCTGAAGCCCCGAGAGGTGGCCAGGGAGACTCAGCTGCACCTACACAACAGCTTGAAGAGTTTAGCACTCCAGAGCATCAGAGCAGCCCCAGAAGACCCCAGCAGTTCATGGATTTGGAGAGCCAGGCCAGCAGGTAAGAGCTATACTGTGCTGGGCTCCTGCTCCTACAGCCAGGGTTTTGTCAAATTCCACAACCCAGAACAAACCCTGACACACTGAGCATGCCAGTTACCTTCTGCAGGTGTGACTGGTTAGGAGCCAGTAGGAAGCTGACCAGCAATGAGCATCCAAGGGGCCCATCTACATGGGCTTCAGTTTGGAGCTACAGCATCAAATCTGTTAGACCAAGCCTGGCACAGAGAACCACATTGTCTAGCAGCCATTTGGTCCATGAATACCTAGGCCTGGAGAGGGATATGGGTTGCCTTTGCCATTCATGGAGATGGAAGGTCTCTGAGGAAGTTGTGCCCTGGTATGGATGGGACTCCCTTCCAGAGGTAAAGGAAGTTCAATGCAGTCTTCCACTGGCACCACCACCAGTTTGGCCTTGTATGGCAGCATTTGGGTGCTCCCTTTGTTTCCCAGAGATCTTTTCCCAAAGTGGCCATGAGTGTGGAAATAGCCTCATGTGAGCCAGTTGTAGGTAGCAGCCATATACACATTGAACAAGATGTTCAGGGCCCTGCCCACCTGCCCTCAGGGAGCACACAGCATACCAACAAATAAACACTATAACAGTGACACCATAGTGATAACTGTTAGCATTTGCTGTGTGCTGAGAATGTGCAGGCACCATTCTCATGTTTTATTCATACTCAGTTCTCACACTAACCCTATAAGGAGATACTTTTTCTCTGTTCTACAGATGAGAAACTGAGGCAGGGGGAGGTTAAATAGCTTGCCAACACTTATCCAGCCAGGCAGTGGCCTAACAGGGATTAGAACCCAGACAGTCAGAGCCCAGAGCCTGTACTGCTAATCGCTGTGCTGTATCTGCTGCCTCTCCATTTGTGATAAGCCCAGAAAACAAGAAAACAGTGCTCTGATGGAGAGAGGCCAGGGCAGCAGATGTTGTAGCTAGGAAGGTCTGGGAAAGCTTTTCTGCTGAGAAAGGGACAGTTCAGTTGAGGCCTAATGCACAAGGAGAAGAACCTAGGAAGACAAAACATGGGTAGAGGAAGCAGCCTGTATGGAGGTCATGGTAAGCAAGGGAGTCAGGAAGAAAGGACTAAAAGAAAGTCCCTGTGGTTTGGAGGATAGGAAGTGATGTGAGGAGGGGGATAGGAGACCAGGTGGGTGGGGCCAGGGCTGGACCTTGTAGGCAAGGGGGAGGAGATTACAGGAGGGAGGTGGGATGTTACCCGATAAGTTAGGGAGCCCTGCCATTGGAGATCTCCCATTGCTCAGATTGCAGTCCTGGAGGGATCCCCATGAGGTTATTTTTTACCTTGCTCCCTCAGCTCTGCTGTCCCCTTGGTTGTACTGGGTGTGGATCAGAGGATGCCAGAAACTAGTTGTTCAATCAGAAGAGGATGCTGTTTCCTTCCTCTTGTAGTCAGTTCTCTTCTCACTCTCTGGCTCTGTATTTTATCCCCCATCTGTCTTTCCAGGTTCCCATGGGGCTTTCCCTCTCAGCCAGTCTACCTCCTTCAGTTTCCATGGTTTATTCCTGAGTCACTGGGCACCTTGAATCCTGGGGTGAGAGGGCAGGTACCCTGGAAGGGCTTACTGGAAGAGAAGGTGGCATTAAGTGCAAAGGTACAAGAGAGATTCAGTTTGGCTAGAGCTTCAGGTACATGCAACATCATTTGAGAAGATGTGACTGGAGAGCCAGGCAGGTGCTATATCATGATTGTTTTTCCCCCTCCCACTCTTAAACTAATTGAGGTTTGGGCACTGTATTCTCTGGCAAGGGAGTGATACCCCAGAGCCTAGGCCAGGTGAAGGCAGACTACATCCAGAGCATGATATGAGCAGCAGCATGTTGGAGAGAAACCAAAATCAGCCCAGGGCAGTGCACACCCATGGAGCTGGCCTAAGGCTGCTAGAGAGTGGGCAGATGTGATATGGATAGCACAAATGGGGAAGGGGTGTCAGTGGTGGGGCCAAACAGGATGCCCTGAATTGTAGTAGGCAGCTGTGGCAGCTTTAGTGTGGGACTGATGACCTGAAAGCAGGCAGAGTGAAAGTAAGGCTCTGGCCAGAGAAAGGCCTTGTGAGCTGGCTCAGATGTTAGATTCCAGACTAAGGGCTTGTGTTGTAGTCAAAAGATGGAGATTCAGAAAAACCATTATACCTGTCCATTTCCCGCTTTTGCTTGTGGACAGTGCCTTCTAGAATGAACTGCATCCCAGTCTCTTCCTTGGTGATGCTTAAATTCGTTTGTCCCTCTCTCCTTCACCCATGTGTGCTCCGGAGAGTTCACTGGAGAGTAGGGGAAGGAGAAGCTGATCCTAGGAAGGGGCTGTCCAATTCAGTGAGGGGATGAGCTAGGCTGTGTCTGTCAAGACCCCAGTAGCCCCATGACGTACTCTAACCAAGTAAGTCCTAGGCCAAGACTCTTGGCTACAGTGGGGACTTATGGCTGGATACTGGAAGATTGGGGTAGTGCCACTGACTCACAGTGTGACCTGGGTCACTGAGCCTGGGTTTTCTCATCTGTAAAGTGAGTTATACCACCTACTGACCTCAGGAGTGTCGAAGAGCAAAAGCTTGGTGATTTGCAAGGGTTGTTAAAAACAAAAAAAAAACTCCTTGAAGTAGCAGTCTGGGGATTAGGGTTCAAAAACCCTGTTTGACCTGTTTGATAACAACTCCCAGTATGGACACAGTTGTTCCTTCCTCTACCTCTTTCAGGATGAGAAACCCCTCAAGCTGTATGGTCACTGTCACAGTCACTGCTGCCTCCGAGCAGCCTTACATTTACATCCCAGCCTCCCCAAGTGAATTGGACTCCAGCTCAACCAGGTAAGAAGGAACAACCTGGGACATGTTCTCTGGGCTCTTTCCTCCCTGGAGCTAAAGGACTAGGCTTTTGTCCCATGTCATTTCTTTGACATTAGCTTTAGTGACTCTCCCAATTCCTAGTAGCCCATTGGTTAAGGGCCCACATAGCTCAACCCAAGTCCCTATGCCAATGAGGAGCTGTGGTGGTACTTCCTAGGGTTCTGCCATCCATAGAACCTTGCTAATAGCTCCTGGGGAACATTCCTGGAAAGGCAAAAGAAAGCCCACTAAGGCCAGGGAGTATGTCTGTCTCCCTCACAATATCCATCATAAGGAGAGGTGCACACCCACTGCCTCACATGCATTCCTTGCCTCACCTACAATTTTAGAGTGTAGGAAGGGAACCATTGCCAGGAGGATGAGTGAGGTATGTGTGTGTAGGGGTGGATCAGAGGGGCCTCTGCTGACATCAAGCATGGAAATTGGGCTACATTTAGGACCACAGTGAGCCCAGCATGAGGCAGACCTTGTTTCCAATGTTGCCAGGGGCCTGGCCAAGATGTGGTGACTTCTGGGCCTCTGAAGCTCCATGAGTAAGAAGAGAGATGTTAGGTTGCTGATGGAAACTCACACAGAGCAGAGAAGACCAATAGTCTGGGGGTGAGGCTTGAAGGTTCTCCTGGTCCCAGCAGAAGAGGAAGAAAGCACTAAGAGAGATGGAAAGCCCACTGTACTGAGGTCAGGGGTGGGGTGCCTCCAGTAGTGTTAAGATCTGTGTGAAGGAGAACAACATATCACCACTGGCTGCAGGGACCCTCTTTCTAGGTCTCTCATCCACACACAGCAAGCTGAACCCATGGGCTTTGATTTCAGCCTGAGTTCCCAGTGGGCTCAGCAGTCTAGCAGCTCCCATTTGCCTCTTTCCTTGCCCAGCGGCAGCTGGAGCACACTCATGCCTCTGCCCCGAGGCCTCCCTAGTTGCTCCTTCACTTCCTTCAAACCATCTGAGGGTCCTCCTAGCCCTGAACCCCTCCTTTGGGCCAGGCCCAGTCCCTTGGAATCTTTCAGTATACCTCTTTCTGTTTACCTCTTTCTGTTTGTATTCCTTCTACAGCAAAGGGATTCTCTTCATGAAGGAGTACATGAATGCTAGTGAGGTATCTTCTGGGAAGCTGGTGTCTTCACACCAGAGCAGGTAAGAGCAAGTCCCTGAATCTTTCATGTCATACCCTTCTCCTGCAAGGTCCTGTGTCATCTTCATTCTGCATCCCCAGTACCTCATCTAGTACTTGGCCCAGAGTAGCTTCTGTGTAATCATTTATTGAATGGATGAATAATGTAATTGCCTACAGATGTGATTTATGTTTTTCCAGCTGTTCTGCCTAATTTGGTGCCTTTGTGTTCCCCATTTATCATGAATTCATCCTATACCCCACTTTCAGTGCCATCCCTTTCTGCCTGTCTTTGTTTCTTGATAAACTACAAGCTTTCTTTTGTGAAATACTGAGAGCATCACTCTTTATAGAAGTGGCAAGGCCCTTACAGACCATCTAGTTAATTTCATCTTGTTTCAGAACATAGGGCTCCTCTCTTCAGCTCCCACATTCTTTCCAGCATGCCAAGTTGCCTCATTTGAACACACATTTGACTGTAGTTCCTGATGTGTGCGTAACTTTTCACTTACCATCTTTTAATCTGCTTGTTTCCTGAAGCCATGTAGAAGGGTTCCTCCCTGCTACATCAATTAAAACAACCCACACTGAGACAGCATCCTCCTAGGAATGTATTTTATGATACACCATCCCACTGCTAGGGTACAGATTGTAGGAACAGAGAGAAGCATCCTGGCCTTATTTCAGGACTGGGCCTCGGGATTCTCACCAGTTTTCACTGGTGCTATGAAATGATGAGTATGGGCATGGAAGTCATGTTCAAGTCCCACCTCAACCCCTAGTGGCTTGGACAAGATACTCAACCTTTCTGAGCCTCAGTTTCTTTGTCTGTAACTCCTTATGGTGGTTTTTCTCACCAGCTTTATTGAGATATAATTTATATATCATAAATATCACTTTTTAAGATTCACAGTCCAGTGGTTTTTAGTACATTTACAATGTTATGCAACCATTAGCACTACCCAGTTCTCCATGAGCATTTTCATCACCCCAGAAGGAAACCCTGTACCCATTAGCAGCTCTCCACACCACCAGCCATAGCCCTTAACCACCACTGATCTATTTTTTGTCTCTAGAGTTTTGTTCAGAGAGGTTTTGAGATTAGAAATAATGTATGTAAAACCTCCAGCACCCCCAAGGGAGCTGCCCTTGCCATCTAACATTTGCCTCTATGAGTATCATTTGACTGAACTTTGTCCATTTTCTGGTCTTTCTTCTCCCAGTTGCACCACTGTGTTAAATTTATTTCTTACAGTTTGAAAATTAAATTTATTTTAAAATTGAATTTAGCATTCAGTCAAAGTGTTATGTCTTCTGACAAGCCAGTAGACAGACTTTCTTTACTGGATAGTGAGAATTGTGTAGTCCAATGTGTTTTCCCCTTTTGCCTCAGGAGGCTTAGAAATAAGCTTAATACTCAGAAGAAATCAGAGCCTGGGCTGAAATTCTAGCTTATCCCTTCCTTTGGGTACAACCTGAGGCAAGACACTTAACCTCTGAGTCAGTTTTCCTGACTACCTTGGTGTCATCATGTGGCTCCTGTGAGAATGGCTGCTTCACTAAAGCATACCCACAGGGCTTGTAGCTAGTCACCTTTCCGTGGCAATAGTTTTATTTTTTTAAACCATTAGTTTTTATTATAAAAAGTCTTATTATTGAAAAATGATCATGAAAAAAGAAAAAAAAAATCTCACCCCTATTCCCACCCTGTAACCTAAGCATAGGTATTATGTTGGAATATTTCCTTTGTTCCCATTTCTAGTGTCTAATTTCTGCTGTGAGTGGACTTCTGGTGACTGTCACATTACAGCCCAGAAACATATGTGGGGAGAAAAGCTTTGCTCCTTTCCCACTGGTCAGTGAAATGGGGGACCCTCATGGTATACACAGCTTCAAGAATCCTAGCCATGCTTCACCATGGCAGATCCCCTTTGTACCCCATGCAAGAGCTCTTCTCCAACATAGTTATGCCTCCTTGGCACCAAGTTTAAAGCTTCCACTGCCATTTTGCATAACAGATCATGGCTGGCCATGCAGTCGTGTCTCAGCTTGTGGCCACAGTGTTAATGAGTGACCACTCATGACTGTGGTAGTGACCTGGCTCTCATATTCTGCCCTCTTCTTCCCCCATCACCACTTGCAGCGTCAGCAGCACTGAGGACTCTTTCAACATAGAGAAGAAACCCCCATATGACAGCATGCCATACTCTGAGAGGTAAGTCTGCTATCTTACCCAGGAGATGGCAGGTCTACAAAGGAGAAACAGTTGAGGGAGATTTCCACACTAAGTCTACTTGCTTTAGTCTCCTGTTTTGCTGCTTATGGTCCACTTTCAGATCTGTTATACCACTGAGTATCCCTTATCAGGATGTCACACTTGTGTCAGCTAAAGCCTTTGAACCCAGCTAAGACTGGAGGGTGAACACAAAAGACTACTGAGAAAGGAGATGATATTGTCCGAAAGCTCAAGCGGCTCATGTCAGCAGGAGAGGCCCCTGGGATTAGAACCTAATTGGTTACTTCATGAACTCGCAAACCTGACTAGAAGAAAAAAACTACAAAAGAGTGATGGGTGGGAAATGAAGAAAAGTGAGTTGATCTCATCAAGAAACCAGAAAAGAGTCAGAGAGAACCATTCATTTAAAAAAAGCTGTGGGACATATACACCATGGAATACTATGCAGCTGTAAAGAAGACGGCTCTCGTACCCTTTGGGACAGTATGGATGAACCTGGAGAAAATTATGCTAAGTGAAATAAGCCAGGCAGAGAAAGACAAACATCACATGATCTCACTTATACGTGGAATCTAANCAGCGAAAGACAAATATCACATGATCTCACTTATACGTGGAATCTAAAGAACTTAATAAACTGATGAACAGAATAGATTCAATGACTTGGAAGCATAGATCAGACTGAATAATGTCAGAAGGATGGAGGAGGGTGGGTGGGTGGAGTGGGAGAGAGTAACCAAAGAATTTATACGCATATATGCACAACCCAAGGACACGGACAATAGTGGGGAGAGAGACTGATGAGGGGGATGGGATGGGGTGGAATGGATCATTGGGGAGAAAAAGGGACATCTGTAATATTTTAAACAAAAATAAAATT